CCCTGCTGCTACTTTAACGAAATCCGAGAAACTAAGAAGTGCTGCTCAACATTATGATCGTACAGTGCATTGTGTCTTTGTGAAAACGAAATAAATCATCGCAAAAAGTTGACAGGCAAAAAAAATAATCGGAACGTGGGATTGAGGCCATTATGATACGGGCCTAGTAAACAAATTTATTCCAGCGATTAAACTTAAAATTACACTGTTTACTCTCCAGTCGGTTTAGGACACGAATTCATTTGGGGGGTACGGAAGACAAACCATGCTCTAGATTTCAACATATTGTTGATCCGACTTACCGGTCTTACGAAGTTAGGAGTAAAATAATCCCCAAAAAAACGGAAATAGACGTATTACCAACGCTAATTAGAATATATAAAATGATTCAAACGCGTTTGGTTTTCTGTTCACTTCATTGCCTACATTGACTGCCGATTATGCGATACTGCCATTTATGGAAAGCATACTTGTGGTTTCTTTTTGAAACTAGGTATTTTTTTTGCCTGTGTCATTCTTTTAGAAAAGACGAAGGGTTTAAAAGGTGCTTTGTGCTGTTATGACCAAAGCATTGAAAATCACATTGTGACCACATGCTAGCTGAACCCGAAATAGGCCCCTGGCTTAAACGGAAATCATACAATGTTTGCTTGAAAATGTAATGGGCTAAACATCTCTCATTAACGCTCATACCGATTTGTGGAAACAAGACAGAGTTCTGCATTTGAGTTTTGAAGGCAGGTCCTTTTACAGTACGCTTACAAATACAGGTATGCGAATGGGTTGTTTGGACTCCTTCTCTGGCTAAAATCCCTTCGATCTCTGACTAAATCGTTTTAAATATGATTGTCTAAGAGTCGAAGCATCCCTTAGTGTTGATCTATAGCACTATGAATCAAGCAATCGTACAAAATGGAACAAACAATAACTGATGTTATTGACGAGGCCTAGGAAGTGGACGCAAGCGGCGCACATACAGGTCTGTTAAAATGAACCGGCTAACACGTACATAACAACAATAAACGTAGACCGTGCAACGAAAGACGTCATCTTATATTGTGAATGAAATTCGAAAAATAATTGTTAGTAAATCGGGATACGCAAAAATGGGAGGTGAACATTATAACAAGGTTAGATATTTGGAAAAACCGCGAGCACGCAGCCTTGACAGAGAATAAAGTATCCGTCATTGTGGTATTAAACGAATAATGAAAATGTGTGTATTTAAGGACATTAATAATCAATACCTCCTTTTCAGCCAATCGTTAGCTGCTTTCACTGGCTGGAGTAATTAGGTCCACAATAATAGTTAGTATGTGGTATAGTTTATTGTTTTAGGTTATCTGCTGTTACCAACGCCACCTAAATATATATAGATGAAAATTGTCCAACCATTTTATAGGTTGCTGTTTACATTTGGACCTCGGTGTATAGTACGTCTATCGCAGTAAAAGGTGTAGATTTAGCAATATACTGATCCTATACTATGAAATGTTCATATCGTGCACCGTTCGGATAACTCATTTGGCCATAGCATAAGCATATCCGTTTTCAAAGACTGAGAGAATGCTACTAATTGACTTACGTCAGCCTATATCCGTTATCGTCTATCTTCCCGAACGAGGCACAACAACGACGAGGTGCTCTCTTTTAGAGTAGAGTAGAGCTCGACTCGAATCATCTGCGATCATTCAGGTTCAGCGTCCTACTCTAGTAGAAGGCCCTCTAAAATATAAACTATCTTTGTGACAAAGAGCAAGCTAAGAGCTAACTTCTCCAATGGTTTCCGATATATGTCATCAATACGTAGGCATGATTATACTACTATTTGAAAACAGGCACACGAAGATATCCTATGACCTTAATCATTAATAGATTGTGATTCTATTTCCGACGTCAACCGTCCTTTATACATCAGCAACACATGTAGCATTATATATTATTTCGTATATACTATTGCTTATCTTTTCGATCTAATGAACATCTTTACCACGTTCCGGCAGTAATAACACAGATGTCGAGAACAATTTTGTTCGCAATGCGCACCATCATCTTTTTATTTGATTTTTAGCTGATGATGGTCGCGTCACCATTTTGATCTTTTTCTTCCTACGGACAAGCTCTTTAAGCTGCGATAATTCAATATTCTATTTCCGGCTAAAATCGAACGAACAAGAAGATGTCGTTTTCTGTACCCTTTAGGCCCTAGCTCAAGCCCTAACACCTCCAAGGTCATTGACTTTTCTCTCTATTGTTGTTGTTGTATCTTACATCCGAATCCGTTTTTGTAGATCTTTGACGTCTTTGCGTTTTTCTTTTGGCCTTTTCGCTTTCTCTTCCACCTGTGAGCTTTTTTGTTTCAAGCGAAGTGGAAGTAACGGAAGGATTGATAGAAGGTAAGGTCCCTTCGCGATCCAAGCGGCACGCTCTCGCATTGTTTAAAAATGCACCACGATCACTGCGTATGCTTCTGTGAGTATACGAATGTTACAGCTGCCCCATCACTTGCTCTGAATAATACACAAGCACTAAGGAAGTCGTTCGGCAGAACAGCCGACGTGAGAAAAACGGAAATCAAAGAGTAATAAAACTGTCTAGCCAATCGACGGAGAGCGCCATCCCTGCACCTTAAAACGTGGAGCTGAATCGCTCATTCCTTTATGCCCTCGAACTTACTCCAGTTTCTGATGGCAGCGTGCAGGACAGAAAAACCATTGCTGCCACTTCGACGTACCTCTTTATGGTTACGTGTACTGAAAAATAAGCACGGTGAAAGCACGAAGGGGCTGGCTTCCACTACGGGAAATGCCATGAGGCTAACGACGACCAGCCCAACAATTTCGTCGAGTGGGGAAGTCGCACGAAGCAGTTAAATGTGAGACACGGTATCATATACGTCCCAAGCAAGGACGAAGGCGAACAGCATACAGGTCCAGTTTCATTGATAACAGCAGGTAGAAGGGTGGATACAAATTTCGATCGACGAATGTTACATGTTATTAAATGGCAGCGTCAACGCTACGAGCGAAAACTGCGAGTTGGAACAGGAAGCCGACAAGGTTACACAATAACGCCTACAGTTCAAGAGTATCGGTAGAATTCGACCGACTGTGAAGGTCCATGTGGCCATGGCGTAACCAAACGCAGTGGTAAAATCGGACGGCAAGAACCGTAACGATGTAACTGTAATTAACTAAAGTGAATAACGTTTGTGTTGTTCTCTATGACTGCATGCGTATAGCGGTAGACTCCTTTAAACACTATTGTAATTTTTATGTGTGTTATCGTGACGTATATTATTTTTATTAAAAATTAATTGCAATTATCTTTTGCAGCTACCGCATTTGCGCAGCATGAAGAATCGTCAAAAATCTAACCAAATATAGTGGCCAAGGAGCAGCTTCTGGGCAATACTAAAATGAGGCAGCGTTCCCTTAGGACCCTTGAAACACCTATTCATTTGTCCTTGAGAGAAGGACTCTACTGGAATGCGACAATCTGTAGTACAATTTGGTATACATGCTATCAATTGGACCGTAAAAAATGGTATTCGTCCTGTGACGGCTGGTAACGAACGAATGAAACTAAGAAAAAAAAAAACACTATTAGCTAAAAGATTATTTCCATGCATATTTGATTTCGAAAGTGAGATAATAATGTTGAACTAAATCCAATTGTCCGCTTAATAAAAATGCTATTAATTTTGCTAATTACTTTGGGTTCTCTGGCGTGTGAATTTGATACAGAGGTCAGCTGTATATCGTTGCGGTTGCGTAGAAGCCCCCGAGATATACTTTGTGTAAAAAATATCGTCGAGACCAGCATGGCGGTGTGCAATACTCGCTAGTATTCTGCCCTTTCAGCACGACGGCATCACTACCAAAAGTATCTGATTTATCACTTAAGGTCCCTAAAATGTATGCACAGTTTAGAATGATTATGACTTCGACTTTTATCTACGCAGTATTACTATTTCAATTGTAAATATAGAAAATTCTATATAAAATGTGCAGTTTTCCAAATTACTATCATTCTTATTAAGACACTGGTAACAACGGTGGGAAATTGATTCACAAACTCCATTGGGTCTTTTAAATCGATTAGTATTATCGGTTTTCTTTCTATTATAGGTATAGACATGAGAGAATCAATTGGTCTGCGAAAAAGACCCCCTTATCTAACTTGTCTGTCGGAAAAATCGTCTTATGTTTTTATATCATGATGATAGTGTGAAAGTAAGATTTACCCCGAAGTTTTCCCGAACGCATGCTGTAGTAGGTCCTTACAGTAAATTCAAGGAATAAGGTCAATCGTTGTACTATGGAAAAAAGCGGTCTACCTAGGTTGTAGTGTTTACATTTTTTAAAACGCTTTATATATATATAATTTAGTAAGGTTATAAACTGATTCAAGGAGAAGCATGAACTTGTAATTTTTGATTTCTTTAACCGAAACCTTAGCCGCCTTATTAACCGCCTCGGCATGCTATAGACCTCTTTTCTACGTAAGCGCGTTCACAACTGCGTTGGTGTCTTGTAAAAATTTCAGTGAAATGGAAAAGGTTTATAAAAATTTTAGCAGCATTGTGATTGGATGCTAGATGTATTATTATATATTAGATGTATTATTATTATATAGACGTTAGTTGTTTTCGTTAAGCTTGCTTGAACGTACATTTAGGTCAAGTCTATCTTTAACGGAGATTGCTAATCGTTTTCATTCGGAAACGTTAGAACCTGGAGTCAATGTCTATCCGGCTTAGAGAAGAAATCGACGTGTCAGCGTTCATACACTCAGACTAAAGTCTTAATTCGGCGTGAGTAAGAAAAAGAAAAATGATGATCCTGATGGAGGTACCAATTTAATCCCATTTGCTAGAGGAGGTCCTCTCCTCTCTCTTCTAGGCGTGCTCGCAAGGTCGCCTCGACGGATTCCTCAAGCCTTTCACTGCTCTCGATCGAAACTAGTATACATCGTTACCCAAGAACTAGTATTAACAAGCTTGCTGAAGCTCTTTGTTATGCGTATCGTTAGTTTTCGTGTAAAGAAAATTGAGTTTTCCCCTAATGTGCGAACGTAGTCCACCTTGCACCTTCAATTTCTGATCGTGGATTAATATTGACATTACGTTTCCCCTTGTACAGACCAGCCCGTGTGAGCTTTTAATAAGCACGAATCGAAACGAGAAAACAAACACCAAGGTATAGTTCGGATTGACAAATACGTTGGATAATAGTCACGATGCTGGCCATGGTTCTCCTTACCGCATCTCTCGCTGTGGGTAAGCTTATCTACGTGTAGACAACTTATGATGAATACTTTCGACAAAATTTCTGGATAGTGGATTGTCTTTGCGTATTCCGTTATATGTGCTCTGATAGGTTCGGCGATTCCGCCCAATATATCATACGACAAATGGACACAGACACTATAGCAGAGGTGTCCCAGATCCGAGACGTTAGTAAACCTCGCCTGCGCCACGACCTTTTCAGTTTATATTTTGGGCCGATACTGAAGCGGCTCTGTATCCGTTGCACAGTCTCGAATGCCTGTATGTACACCTATCCTACCAAAGTGATGCACCCTGGGTGCCATTTCAGCTTTGAAGTGGCTCAATTTGCGCTAGCCCTTTGTTCCTTTTCGACCCTGTAGGGGGACACGTTCACGTGTACGTTCCGACCAATATGCGCTCCGACGCCAGGCTTAGGCATGATCTCGTTCAGGCTAAATGCCTCTCGCCTGACGTCAAGTATCTGCCATATTAAGTCCAAAGTTATACTTTTGAAATAGATCTTTTGTTTTATAGTACACTAATACACAATCGTAGTCATGAATCGTCTCTTCAGGCTACTCTTAGCGGCGGCAAGTTACCTTGAAAACAATCGGGCACGCGACAGTTTCCTAAGCTATTACGATTGGTGGCTTTCTTGGCTTCATTTTGATATCGATGTACCTGGTAATAGATACAGTCCCAGCTTCGCAAAAGCCGTTAAGTCAGGCGGTGAGGTTACAGTAAATCGGCTCAAGAAGTAGTCATCCCGGCAAGATTTCATCGAGGCTTTTAGAAATGCCTTAAACTAGGATTCTCTCTAACAGAAGCCGTTTCTTTTAAACGGACACCTTTTTGTGAACTTTTTTTTTGCTATTATTTTTTCTGACGCCGGTGTAGGATTCTGCTGCTTGTGGTGTATCTATCTTCGATGAGGCTTTTTTTGAGCAGACCGAGCCTTGAGTTAATCCCACGTTTCCGCGCTATCGACAACCGGTTTTGTGCATCAAATCTGCCGCATGTTCCTCGGCGAAAGTAGAGCATGCCGTGGCTGATACGCATCTATTTGAGGGCATTGCCATGGTAATCGCTGGTTCCAATTTTATTGTTAATAAATGGTAACAATGACATATGGTTGCTTTGCCGTTCTATAGGTCTGTTGGATAAGTCCAAGATAACTCAGCCCGGGAAGGGACTTAAGAACTAGGCAGACGCATTCTGAACCTACCATAAATGCAGACCATTATTTTTGACATTCAGTTTCTGTCCAACGTTTGACTATGGCTTCTAGCCTTGTATTGGTCGCCAACTTCTGCATTTTCATATATTTCTTATATAGCGATGACGCGCTATAATCGCACTACATATATATGTAAGTTTACCTATAACATGTGGGAGGTAGAAGACTCAACTAACAAAAAACAACAATAGCTGATTGTGTTTTAAAACAGCCACATACGACATAGACACATAAATTCCTATTTATTTATTTAGAGAACTTACTTTACGTAATGTATTTACGTGAAGTGATATCTCTTATCTTGATAAGAATGATAGTTCTAAATATTGTGCCTAGCATGGTGGTTCTGGTCAAAAAACGATATAGTGTCGCTCGCTCACAGATCTATTTCAAATTTATAGATAGACGTCAGTTAGGTAGGCGGTAGAGCTGAAGTTTCTCTATACATGGACTTTAATATATCTGACAAGAAATATTAGAAACAGTCGTCAAGTACCAATGACAGCCGTTGATGTGTGCTATGTAAATAAAAGCAAGTCCAGATTTATACAAAATGGGTCGGGATTTAGTACGTGGTCTTTTTTGACAACATCGATTTTAGTACTCTCCACATTTTGTAAACAAGTTATCGTAATGACATGTTCGACCAATGATCATTTGTAAGTTATCTGGGCCCATTAGAATTTGATCATTGTGAATATCATAACACCTTGTATTAGCATGATCATTAACTTAATCCCCTATCAACATAAAGAAAAAAAAGTCGAGACACACACCGAACGATTCTTTATCTGCCTTTATTTTATGCATGATTTTTAATTCAAGTCAATGCACTTTCTCCAGTTATCCTCAAGTTACTATTTTTTAACAACAGATCACTGATGTCAAACCTGCTCACAAGTATATTTGCCTGTTCCTTGTCGATTAGAGCCAAGAGTGATCTCCGTTCGTATAGCCATAATATGGTCTAATGTATAGGAGGAGACCTGGTATACTGGTGTGGCATGAAAAATGCACGGTACTCTTGAATTTCAGCTGGAGCCCACGGACTTTCAGCAGCGCATCTCGTGCTCCCGTCCCTCGCCAGGCTGGGCAACGAGGTGAAAATGGCCTGCACTTTCGAACTCGACGAAGGCGAAGTCGTCTATTCTATTAAGTGGTTCAAAGATGAACAGCTGTTTCTCACGGTAACACCTGGCGACCAACCTCCGCTCAAAGTCGTGGAGCTTCCAGGAATCTTTGTTGATGTAGGTACCCTTTTATCTACTGTGCACTCGTAAAGAGAAAATCGGTAACGGGCCCTACTGAATAACATGTAAGAAAATACCAAATTATCACATCATTGCATTTTCATCATTGCAACTCTATTTACATTTGCAGCGTAAAGGCACCGCATACAATAAACTCGTCCTAGGTCGAGTCGAGTTCGAAACGGCCGGCACGTACCGATGTTTAGTTAGTCTTGATGGACCATCGTTTGCCACAGCACGTTCCACAAAGGTAGGTTATTCGTAGTCTTCTCTGTCAGATCAGTTATTTGCCTGCATTAATGTTTTTGAACCTTTACCTAAGCTAGAAGGCGAATCGTACATAAAATCCGCACTTTCATAAGCGTTTTGCTATACCTACACAGAATATTGAAATAACTACTCCCGTTATCCAATGAAGCCACTATTACGATCATGAGCTCGATCATATTTTTAGCGATTACTACAGTTTAGGCCGTGGCATTATTCCGTCGATTGTCCACGTCAATTAGTCCCCTGACGTCGTCCTTCGAACCGTTGAGCTGATGCTACCCCGCCATTTTTTGTTGCAGGTGCTGAAAGTGGTTAAGGAACGATAAACAGCTGTTGGGCAGCAGTAAGGAACGGTCTACATCTTCGCTACTCATATTCAGGTGTCTCACGTCTGTTGTCTCGTTGAAATGCACACGTCTCCTTACCATACTTCTTTACCACCTCGCTTTGCCAGCAATAGGCAGTACGATATCGTCTTAGCATTCCAACAATGTATAATACGTTTTTAATCATATAGTCGTCAAAATAAAAATGATCATTATGGAATAAGTATATTCCATATAGCATCACAGATGAGTTATCCGTGTCCATTTTCCCTGTTTCTGCTCGTTGCACAATTTTTGTATCATACAGAAGGGACACCGTAGTCAAGTCCGGCAACGTTCGAGCGGTGACTGACAGCGTCTAACGAACATACATAGCCAATGAAACCATTCGTATGAGCACTGATAGTGGTAGTTGTTGATTGATGGCTGGTGTCCTCATCGCGACCGTTCGGCCTTGCCCAGAAGCATACCCTAGGAGGACATCGTACCTTCAACTGGAACTATTATAATTCGAGAAAAAGTGATCTAATCGGGGAATACCATGTTGCTGCCGTCAATTAACCCCAATCAAGTCCAATCGAAACGAGACAATAAGAAGAGTACAGCCGAGCCGGTACAACGTAATTACGACGTCGACGTCGTCGTCGTCATCGTTATCCAGACGCGCAAAAAATATAGGATGAGATGTCTGAGGCAGAGCGAGACATGTTTTTCTTCTTAGTGATTATGTTTTTGTTTTTTTTTTTCACTGCGAACTCATAATAGCTGATCTAGGACTGGTCTCTATACAGCTTGATTCTATTTGTCCCGAGAAAAAAGCCAAAAAATAGAGGCGCATGCCACGTACCAACGTATACTTTCGGATGTGTAAACAGGCCGTGTTTGTCTATCACATGTTCTCGTAAAATCTAAATAGATCTTCTTATGTGTGTTATAGAATAACATATACTACACAAAGGAAGCAATTTATTAATCGGTATTATGAACGATACAATTTATTTCCGATTCTGTGTTTAGTCTGGCGTATCTGCGCGGTATGATTCTCGCAGGATTTTACTGGCTATTTTATATTATATCTATATATATTATGATTGTCTTAGAATCATTTTACGACAGAAACTTTGCTATAGTAACGTAACTGGAGATATCGTTTAATAGTTCTTTTTCTTTTCTAACGCTTAAGAAATTCGCCGGAAAACCGAAAAAATAAATAGATCTATGCCTGTTGATTTTGTCTAATGGCATATCACGAAACCCCGCTGCTCAGGAACTCAAATCTCATAGTTATTTGTTATATTTGTCTAGAAGCAAGCTGGATGTCTATTTCTAATATGATAATATGTCTGTACAGTAGCTATGCATTAGTTTACACTCTTCGAGTGGCTCAGTCCATATATCAACATTTGCTACATCGTCGAATCTATCGTACGTTGAACAAGCTCCGGAAATCTTTTATTTTAAAACCAACTGCTCGACCATTCTCGCTCCGTTGGGAATAACAAATAGTAGAACCGGCAAATAATGTCCTATACTTCCGGTGGGCCAATGAGCTACCAACCATGAAGATACATACAACTGACGACGGTAGCGGTGGCAGTCGGGACGATAAAGGTCGGGTCCTAACAACAAACTTTGGTTCCCCAGTGGCTCTCATTCCCAATTCGAATTCAGCCTGTCTAGATCAAATAGCGTAGGGTATGAGCTTGTATGTGTGTGTGTGTATATGTGTGTGTGTGCGTGTGTAACGTGTCTGCATCAGTCATGGCGCGGATCCCCGATACTACGGCCATTTGTGACGGACCGGATAGATCTTGTCCGGTTCGAGCTGGCTCACGCTTTTTACCCATTTCGCTGGAAAGCGGCATTACCCTCCGTAAACGTCTCTATTTCTGTGTTATGTCCCCTTGAATTTCATGAATCTTTAGGATAAGTCTTTCATGCAAAGAACCAAATAGAAATAACCGACAAGACGCTGAACGGTCCCTCAGACCTTTGGGCATGTGAGGGCACCGGTCGGATTTAGCTCGTCGGCGTCTGAAAAAGGCCCTTAAGGCCACTAATGCAGGCACAGAAAGTTGAGATGAAAACTGTGCAATATTGGATGTATTTATGCTATCCTATGCCTTGTATACCAAGCACTTCGAAGTATACTTTGGCCAGCTTAGTGTACTAGCTTACTGGAAACAGCTCCCAGAAATTGAGAGCGCTTTGCTTTCCGTCGCTTCTCCAAGCTCCCTGCTAAGGATTCCATTTTGGCCACTCATCTAATTGGTATAGAAGAAACGCCATAGTATATTCAAGGCGAACCGCGAATCTACGCGCTTCAAAAACCCTTGGGCTATGCTGCAAGGATGAAAAGAGTTGAAGGGCCTTGTTCTTGGTCAAGTGAAGCTTCTGCATGCCACAGGGCTTGCATGTCTGCCGTAGCAGTCAGGCTTCACTAACGAACTTGCAAATCGCTGTAGAGTAGAGAACGAAAGGACAACTGGGACTTATGCCGTTGAACATCGGGATTCGATGAACCTTTTTCGCGAGGTCAGGCTATAACGACCCTACTGGGAGAAAATAGGGCATAGATGTATAGCTGACTCATAATACTCGCTGTTGGGCTGTGGAGGGAAGAGAAATATTTAGAGGAAGTGCGAGTACGAAAAAGAAATGACTAAGTTATTCTTTGTGAGGCAAGTAGAAGGCAAAAAACCGCAGCCTGCCGGTATCACCATTAGCGGTCTGTACATGTTGCATGGTACAAGAATGGCATTTAAGATTCCATGAGGGTGCAAGCTAGAGCTGGCTGTGACATTGAATCGCAGGCCTGCTGGAAGTACCTAGCAAAGTAGAAATAGAAAAGGACATCTTAGCATTGATTGTAACGGTCGAGCTTTTTTATTTTAAGTTCCAAAAAAAAATCAGCGCTAAATATCCACAGCGAGCCGAACTAATTCTCCGATCCATGAACATGTCATCGGAAATAGTGTAGGTAGCAGAAATTTCACAACAGAAAAACTTAAATCTTATGTTTTTTTGCTAATTATTCAAAAGCTATATTTCAGGTTGAAGTTTACGCACTAAAAAAAAGAACTCCTATGATTTGTCGAATGATGTCATACTTCAACCACCACACATCTCACACGTATTTGGTTCTAGATGCAATTGTTTAAGTTGCTAGCCGTGTTACAATTCTGTATTTGATTTTTTTTGCTAATCTACGATAAATACAATCTATCTTAAAAGTAGGAAGAATGCGCTTGACATCACCTGTGAAAATATACATATGGAGTATAACGGTGTTGACGCTTCCCTGCCCGTTTGAGGTCTGCTTCTGGGTTTGGTCTATTTGATATCAGCCAAAGGCCAGCTCGATCTACGTATGCCTATTAAACGCAGGCTAACGACCCGCCGACTTGAAAGAAGGGCAACTTGTTTTTGTTAATTTCGAATCACTATTGTCGTTCGTGGGGCTCTACTCGCATTTCCTACAATTATAATATATGATCCTTAAGTTAGCAACACGTTCAGTAGAAGAGACAAGTTGTTATTACACTATACACCATAAAATGTAAGAGAGGCTCAGTTCAATGGCATGTTTTTAACGTCTACCTACGGTTGAGGCATCGCTCTATTTAAGCAAATTCGCTTTTTCCGTTATTGAGAAATGTTTAACTTACTATTCAGAGATTATTGTTCAACTTTAATTTTTACACATACGCATTATTCGAACGAAGACATCTCAGTTCTTTCAGTTCAATATATATCAATGCGACAGAAGATAGTAATACTAACACGATTTCCTTGTTGAGTCAATCTATTTGATTAATTATGACTCTGGTTGATACTTATGGTAAATTTAAATAATGATAAAATTAATTTTATGATTATTATGTGTGCGTACATTCATTTTCAAGATTGTCTACATAATAAATAAAGGACTTTCCTCGGTAAACTTAGTTAAAGAATCCAAGGAACAGAAACATTTCTGTTTTGGATCATCTTAGGCTGGCTCGATTTTACACGTAGCTTTGGATAAAAGCAATAATTGACCAGGCTATTTCAACATAATAATAAAATAACTATAATAACAGGCCGTTTCTCCTTTTCCGTGAGGGAACTTTGTGCACCTTGCGACGTACAGTCATAATCCTTGCAGCCGAACTCTGTAAACGATGGCTCCTTGATCGCTTGCGATTTAAACGCTTCTCCCTCATTAAGCAAAGGCAGCTGGAGGAGAATCCAGTAAGAATTGAGTCGTTCTTCAATAAGCTCCACTTTTCCTCTGAACTCAGCGTTTCATCTCTCCAATTGAGATCCTAAGCTTTTAGTTGGAGCTGTCATGTAATAATAATAATTCAGTTATCTTAATCCTCAGGACTACAAATATTTCGCTATGTCTGGATAGCTGGACCGTAAAGATTGTTGCTAGACTTTGGCAATGATCGACACTTTTAGCAGCTCCATTTGGTGACTTCATTTATTTAATTTTACAGAACAGTCCAAGGTTATATTTATTTGAGTGCAGTTATATATATTTATTGCTTAATTTCATTTATCCAAATAAAAGTATTTAACTAGATTGCTATGCCAATTTTGCCCGCTGCTTCTTAGCGCCTGACTGGGCAATATGGAGGGTTAGTGTTCGAGCATCATTCACGTTTGCGTTGCCTTTTTTGGACTTACGTTCAGTACAGAAAAGATCGTCTCACCCCATAGAAACACATTGATATTTACGTAATAATACATATGAAATAATTTATACTATTGAAATGCTTGTTTTGAATTAGTTTACAAAGACCGGAATGGATATCCGGCACACGACGAGTATATCTATTCTAGAACAGGTTTCGCTATTTGACACGTATAGGAAGGTATTTATACAAAAGTGCATCTTATCGGTCATGCCTCTCAATAGTAACAGCAAAAAATGAACCTCATGAGATATCATTAGTTTATTGATTCACTGAGACTGGCTTTGGCGCCACTTGCGTAGTAGACTGAAGAAATAGGTTCTTCCTTCATAAAGTGTCATTCTCATTTGTCAGTCAGCCTTGAGAGTCAAGCTTTTAGCGATAAGTAGCTTCTGCTTGCAAAAAAAGGACCTTCTGTCATGCAACTAGACACTTGCACTTTTCTCAATTTTTCCGCTGAGGTGTCCTGTCCTCACACAAGGACCTTGAAAGGTCTCGACGAGAACTGTATAAAACAATAAAATGTAAATGGCAGTGGCAATGGCGATTCTGGCAGACCAATAGAGAACGCAAGGAAGGGGAGCTCTTTTGAGAACCGTTTCCGCAGCCCGAAGCACCTGCCTATCCACACTGGTATTCTCTGGAAGCAATGACGGTCAAGCCAACGTTCCAAACAGACTTAGCAGAGAAACCCGTCACTAACTGGCCAGCTTTCCAATGCTAACGATTCTGGTTTCACACAGAAATAGACCTATCGATAGTCTGGAGGAAGTCGCAGCTGGCCCAGAATGTAATCCTTAAAATAAACAAACGAAAACGAACTGTTAGTCCACCTCCACCCTTTTTCATCAATAACTCATGATAGATTTCACTGGGAAACATGATTCTAGATGGTTCACTCGGTGCAAATTCGTCTGTCGCAAACGTTTAGAAAATATTCCTAAAGGTTTTTATAAAGTTAGTTGGTGGATATTCAACTTAGGGGAATTGTTCAAAACGAACATCTACATACAGTTATTCTAAATGCTAATGAATTAACGAACTTTTCGTTGCTTGCACTTTTGGCTTTCACGTTCAGATTGGACTGAAACAGAACATATTTATGATAAGTTATGCAGTAAAGCTGACAAATGATACTGACTATTAGTGTATAAAAAAGTATGTTAATCAAAGGTAACCCACAGGTCGACGTAGGCAATCGATCGTAGTGGCAAAACGTTTACGTGCAACTCTGCCTCCTAGAGCAACAAAGTGTAGACCCATTATCTCTCACCTCGTTATTTATCTTGCTTTTGTCTCATCCAGTGCAGTACGTTTCGCCCGTGGCGCTATCCGAGGCTGATGTTTCGCCATTAGCGAGATTACCTGTTACTCTGAAAAAGCTTGGACGCCGATATCCGAAATACCTATGGGCAGCGTTTCGTTCATGCTAGTTTTATAAATAAT